TTTGCCATATTAAAGTTCCTCAACATGTTCAAGCTAAGCAAAGCAGGGTACATGATTTTAAAAAGGCAAGAATCTCTATTAATAAACAAAATTGCCCGATCAGTGCTGTAGTCACCTGTTTTAAATATATATATATTTTAAAGTTCAACATAAAATAGAGCTGTCCTATGCAGCTGTAAGCTGGGTAATAGGCGCCAGCTTCTGTCTAATCCTCTGTGGGTGGGCAAGGAGGCAGGCACACACAAGAGGCCTATCCACCCCTCTTTATACACCCTCAGGGATGGCATGATCACAGTCTTTGCATTCCATAAAGTACAGCTGTGTGAAGCTAGGTCCCACAGCCATTCATCACAATGACAGGCCTCGTATTGCTAGGCACAAGGGGGAGCACATCCTGGGCCTTGTAACAAAGTGGCTCAGTGAGGCCTGGCTCTATGCACTATTCACCCTCTTGTATCATCATACATTGCAAGGGATGTAAATATTACAGAATTTGTCCCAATACATGTTAAACAAAGAAGACATTCCATAATACATGTGAAATACATACCATCAAAAAGGACAAAATAGAATTTTCTCTGTTGATAACGTACCCAGCACAATCTCCAGCAGCATGTACAAAATAACTATAAATTCACATACATTGATTCATCAACTGCGAATCAATTAACAAACCAACACAAAAAATTAGACTCCAACACCAATCCACCCTTCAAAAGGCCTGAGTTAGGCCTTACAACATGCTCTTAAAGTCATTTTTCAGATCTTTCAAACCAAGAAGAGAAAATGAATTCCAATGGAGAGCTCATCGTTGAAGACACCCTGTCTCCAGCCTCAAAGACAATCAAATCTAGGCACTATCAGATCAAGTGACCCAGCTAATCTGAACTGCCGAGCCTGGGGCATGAGGGGAGCATGAAGAGAAAGGAAGTGTGCAGGATACACAGGACTCAAACCATAAATCTAACTCAACACCTTAAGGTGCACCTGGAAATAAATGGGAAGAAGACAATGCATTCGGTGGCACTCAGGTGTAAGGTGCTCCATACAGAAAACATTTAAAGTGACCAAGCAGCCAGAATCTGCACTAACTGAAGTTTCCCAGTGGTCTTCAAGGATAGGCCCAGGTAGACCACATTCCAAAAATCCCATCTAGAGTTGATACAGTAATTACTACAGCAAAGTCCCCATTAGGAAGGAGTTGCAACTTTCTCGCCAACCAATGAAGGAAAAAAGCCCTCTGGGTTACCGTTGTAACCTGGGCATCTAGAAGCAGCCACAAATCCAGAGTGACTCCTAGATTTCAAACATTAGTAACAAACAGTAGGCATTTGCCTTCTATTAAAAGAGCAGATATCATTTCCACCACACCCTCCAGCATTTCTTTCTTATAGATTCCTACTATCAACTATGTCTTATCTATATTAAATTTCACCCAGCTAGTTCTTATCCAAATACCTGACACTAGGAAAACAATCAATCAGTCATACGACTGAATTCCAGTGACAGAGGCATAGAGATGAGTGTCATCAGCATACTGAAGGCATTGCAAACCCAAACCATGACTTGTAAGGATGGAGCAAAGGGAGAGGAAACGTGATGGAGAAAGCAGTCACTGAAAATGTGAAAACCTAGGGAGTAGGTCTATGAAAGAAATAATTTAATAATGTATGTTATTTGCATTCAAACTCCTTATTGAGTTATATATAAAGTCTTAAGGGAAAATAGAACCCAATTACAGTGTACACATTGCAGTGTTGGCTTGTTTCCCACCCTTCTAACTACCCTTTTCTTTAAAAACAGAGACAGGCATTCTTACCTTGGGGTAGCACTTTGGTGAAGTTTTCTCTATAACCAGGGTAGACCAGCATTTGCTGCTAGTTGTTGGACTCCATTTTGGGTCATATAGGGGGACTTGTAAGTGCTGCTATTTATACCTTTGTACAGTACCATCTAGCGTTAGGAATGCAGTATTGCAGAGGTGGCACCACTGCAGCTTCCCATTTAAAGTAATAGACTAAAGTAAGGGGTGGAGGTAAGAGACTATAAAGCTGGTCTCCAAGACTAGACACATTCTTCTGGGTGGCCTTTAGTCTAGTCTGAGAACTTGTTTTAGTCTTGGGAACTCATTGTAGTTTAAGAGTGTTGCCTTAGTGAGAAGTTCAGCCTAGATTAGGTCCCAGTGCTGGTTAGATTTTTAGCTAAGGGTTTTAGTTGGATGTCTTCTGGACCCTAAAGCTGGATTTTATAAAGGGGTGGCTACATAGGTGTGGAAAGTAGGGCTGCAGCACCCCCAGGTTTTATGTAGGGCTGCTGGCTCTGTACCCTGCTCCCTAGGTGCTGGATCTATACATAAAACCTGGGGGTGCTTCCCACACCTATGCCCTACTCCTGGCCCTCTGCCCACACACCGCTCTCCAACCCCTCACCTGGGGCTCAGGTCCTAGCCGTTGGCCCCATGCCTGGGGCCCCCTGCCCAGCCCCACCCCCCACTCCCAGGCCTCTGTTCCTGGGTCCCTGCACCTGGCCCCACGCCAGGGCTCTGCTCTTGGCCTTGCACATGGGGTCCTGGCTGCTGGCCCCTGCCTGGGATTCTGCTCCTGGCCCCATACCCACCCTCAGCTGTGCCCTTGGTCCTTTACCCCAGTACAGGTCCCCCCCGCCCTCAGAGACACAGCCTTGCTCCCAGGGGGGGTAGGGGCACGGACAGGGGTACGGGGGCTGGCTTTCAGCACACACACACACCCACTACTAAAAATGTTCCAGCACCACTGGGTGGCTATTCCATATTATTGTTTCTTTCAGAATTCTGTAATTTAAAATGTATTTTTTTAGGGGTCTTGCATTAAAAAGCCCTTATTTTGATACTTACAGTGGCTTCCTGGTTACATTTGACCTTACCTCTCTTTACTATATTTACAGATCTGTGATCCACATTTCCTGCACTACAATCACAATATGACCATGTGTTTAGGAGCCCCTGTACTGATAATTCATGAAAAGGATAGTCATAATATCCCACCAAACTATTAACAGAGTGGTCCAGGGGCTGAACAGGAAACCTTCTCAGAGTAGTTAGTTAATTAATCTCCAGAGGCAGAATAAAACCGGCAACTTAAATCTGACATTCCCTAACTGCAAGTAAAGTTACCATGGGCTGTTCATGTGGTACTGAAGCCCAGACTGAACTGTAAGTATTTTGTTTACTTATGACATTAGTAACTTTTTATTTTATAACTCATTTTGTATTTCTTAACTTTTTAAGATATGATAACCTCTTGCCTCGGGCAGAACTGGTGCCAGTCTCACAATCATCCCCTTTTGGCCTTGTCTACCTACCGTTACTTCCTTATTTTTGCAAAACTTCCAGTTGCCCTAGAATATCATGTCAGTGTTAATGGGAAGTGTTGGTCGCTCCACTGCAGCAGTTGCACCTAATTTCTCCAGAAAAGGTTCCTTACTCATAATTTCTATAAACTCATCATGGTGTAACTATGTATTTATTTAAAGGATTCTTTTCACAGTTGTAAAGAAATGTATAAAGAGCATTAGCAATCATTTAAAATAAGACATTATTATAATGAGAGCTGATTTTTTTGTAGATGCTCTAATTAAGCAAGATCAGCAGAGGGCTAGAACCTCCTTTTTCATAATCTAAGAAAATCTCATTTGTCTAACTTTGATCTAGCGGGCAAAATAAAGTGTTGGCTGATTTTTAGACTAACAGCTATATTGGAAAGTAGTGCTAACAAGTGGTGGCTTTACAAAGTAGAAGTGATAAACCATTGTTATTGTGACTATTTGTTGAGAAAAGGCCTGAATGAGAGTTTGGAGTATGCAAAGAATGCAGGATTGGGTCCATAGAGAGTCAGCTGTTAGCTGTTCTGCTTGATTCACTGTCTACACTGCAATGTAAGCCCAGGGTTCGAACTCAGGCTCAAGGCTAACCCCCTTCCATCTACATACCAACTGTGCTAACCAAGAGCTTAGACCCAGGGTCCCAAGACCCCATGGAGCTGGAGAGTCTGAGCCTGAGGCAAGCTGGGATCCAGGGTTGAAACCCTATTGATTTGTAGTGTTGACACAACCCCACTGGACTCATGCTCCGGGGGTACGTCTACACAAGGATAAAAGATCTGCAGCATGGCTGGGGCTGGCCCAAGTCAGATGACTCGGGCTCATGGGGCTTGGGCTGCAGAGCTAAAAATCACTAGACATTCAGGCTCAGGCCAAACCCTGAGCTCTAGAACCCTGCCAGGGGGGAGGCTCCCAGAACTCTGATTTTTCAGCACTGAAGTCTGAGACCTGCAAGCCTGAGTCAGCTGACCCAGGCCAGCAAGGGGTTTTTTATCCCTGTGTAGGCATATCCTTGGAGCCACCAAAACACTTCCAGAATTCCATGGGCTGATTTTCTTTGTCTTCTGGACAGTCAAGTTTGGTGCACAGTCAAGTTATGTTAGCAACATAGCAAGTCTATGTTAGCAACAAGAAGAAAGTCAAGGAAAGTGTGGGCCCCTTACTGAATGAGGGAGGCAACCTAGTGACAGAGGATGTGGAAAAAGCAAATGTACTCAATGCTTTTTTTGTCTCTGTCTTCATGAACAAGGTCAGCTCCCAAACTACTGCACTGGGCAGCACAGCATGGGGAGGAGGTGACCAGCCCTCTGTGGAGAAAGAAGTGGTTCAGGACTATTTAGAAAAGCTGGACGAGCATGGGGCCAGATGCGCTGCATCCGAGGGTGCTAAAGGGGTTAGCGGATGTGATTGCAGAGCCATTGGCCATTATCTTTGAAAACTCATGGTGATCGGGGGAGGTCCTGGATGACTGGAAAAAGGCTAATGTAGTGCCCATCTTTAAAAAAGGGAAGAAGGAGAATCTGGGGAACCACAGGCCAGTCAGCCTCACCTCCCACAAAGCATCCTAAAATGTAAGGCCTTGGTAAATTATTAGTGGTGTAAAGGGACCTTACCATACATAAAAAATACATACATAAAAAGAATCAGGTCTGAAGTTTTTATGAAAGAATAATTAAAAAACTTCACAGACTAACTTGGTATGCTCACAAAAGTACTCTTCCAGTAACCAATGAAGTAAAAATCTCTACATCACTGATTCTTCATTACAAATTTTGATCCACTATTCAATGCATGAATATAATTGCACATGCTTTAGGACAAGTAGTGACTGAGTACATTTCAGCTTATTTGTTACCAGAAAGGCTAACACCAGAAATGTATATTTTAATTGCAGACTCAGATAAATTGCAATTTTTTTATAATAAAGCTATTTTGACATACACCATTGCTTTGTTACAAAAGCAATTTTTTTGCAGTAATAATTTCTGCACCTACAGTTTAAGGGTCTGGTCCTGCTCCCAATGAAATCAATAGTAAACCTCCCATTCACTTCAATAGAGCAGGATTAAGTCGTAAGTGATTAATCAAGAAAACCATTACATTTGTGGGATTTTTTGTTTTTTTGGAAATCAAGGGAAGACTTCTATGAAATGGAAAAACCTACCATATATACTTGTTCATAGGCTGAATTTTTTTAGTAAAAAAGTGAAGCATCAGAGAAGGGAGAGAAGGGGGTTGGCTTATGAGTATGGGTATAGAGAGGGAGAGGTGGGACACAGCCCAGGATAGGCAAGGGCAAGGATAGGCAGCAGAGCCAGAAGGGAAGAGGCGGGGCCAGAGTCTCTCCTCTTCTGGCTATGCTGCTCTCCCCCCAGCCTCCGAAGCAGCTGCAGCTCTGGGGCTGACAGGCTGTGGCTGCGCCGCCCAGCCCAGCCAGCCGGAGCAGGCTGCAGCCAGGCCAGAGACATCCTCCCCATGGCCCGCCCCAGATAAGGTGGGAAGGGATGGGATGGGGAGCGTGTGGTGGTCCTGGGCTAGGGGCGGGGAGGGGTTACATGGGGATGGGTCATGTGGAGAGGTCCAGGGATAGGGTCATGTGGGGGTGGTCACAGGGGTTACTCCCCTGACCTCCAGCTTCTCCCCCTCCAAAAATTTCCCCACCAGTTGCTGTCCCGGCCCGTCAGGGTAAGCCGCTGGTGGGCCGTGACAGTTTGTTTACTTAGGTTTACCTCCGTGCCTGCGGACGCTCGAGGTAAACAAACTGTCTTGGCCCGCCAGCCGCTTATCTTGATGGGCCGGGAGCCAAAGTTTGCTGACCCCTGAATTATAGGGTCAACTTATGAATAGGTCATAAAAATTTGCCATTTTTACTTATCCATAAACGAACCAGCTTGCGATCAAATATATACAGTAATTTAATTAATGCCAAGGGAGGACACGGAGACTAATTTCTTTTATAATTAACTTTTCTACTTTGTATCAAGATATGCTGCATTTTCTGATTCAAATTGCAGGTCTGTCAGTGCAATGTGAATTTGTGTAGATGCTTTTTACATGTTGAAATACAATTTTCATACAGTGTGTGCGCTACACGTTACCTTTTTGTTTGGGATTTTTGTTCAAATATTCTACTGTACAATTACATTTGTTTCTTTTTTTATTACATGCTTAAAAGATCTATACAAGGTACCGTTAGAATAACTTGCTGCCACAAAGGTTGAGGTCAATATTTTACTTGAGTTACTTTCCTGAACTAGATTCTACATTTTGATATGACAATTTCCATAAAGGTCTCAATACTGTGACTTTTACGTACAGTGACGTAAGCAGAAATGGACCAAATTGTGCAGTTGTTGTTCAGACAAGACTTCCACTAACTTTAATAGAAAATTTGTCTAAGTAAGTTCTGAGAGGCAAATCATGCACAATTGCAAAAGTAGCCATGCAATTGCCAAAACCATGAGGAAAACTATGTGAAAAAAGTGTGTTCAAACAAAGAGGAGGTATGTCTTCAAATGTGCAGAAAACCAACCCTTGCACGGTCAATAATAATAAAGAATGAGCAACATCTGTAGAGGGCTAGAATCTCCTTTGTCCTAATCTAAAAAAATCAAATTTTTCTAACTTTGATCTAGCAGACAACATAATGTGTTATGTTACAGTAACTTATTTGACATGGTTTGTTCACTCGGATCCTACTTCTGGTGCCCATGTGAACACATAGGCACCAGAAGTAGGATCCACCTAGACAAAACATCTGTATTAATATGATTTTTTAAATCATATGTATACCATTAGAGAGTGTGTGTGTGCACATGCGTGCATGCTGGTGAAGGGGGAAAAAGAAACAAAGTGAGCCTATGTTGAGATCGATTAATGGATTTATAGTTTTGTAGAGCACACAAATACCGTAGCAATAAGCATGGTATAAATAGCTAAATAGATTGAGCATGTGACAAGGCCTGAAAACATGCAGAGAAACATGGAGATGAGTCAATTTCTGTGCTAGGAACTAATGGGCTCGCCTATCACTCCTCATATATTGGTCTAACCCTTGTGCATTCAGAATGGATTGGATGTTTCCATAGTGTTCTTTATTTCACTCCCTTTTGGTAGAGACTCATGTGACTTTGATGATGAAGGCCAACACTTTCTCTTTACATTACAATCCACCACATAATGTATTGCTTTCCTCGACTAGGTGTTTTTCTCTGATTTGCCCCATTTGGCCACATTTTGCAATTCATACAGGGCCCATGCTGTGCAGTATAATACTATTTGTTCTGTATGAGAACCTGTTTGGAGATGTGATGTCTTCTTCCTTACTTAACATCCCTCTTTGCATATAGCTTTCTAAGCACGGGAGGGAGCACTGCTGGGTACATGCTTAACACACAAGTTCCTTGGTGTACCCTCCAGTCAGATGAGCTTGTTTTGAGCTCTTTCCTTGTACATGCCCCTTTAACCTTTGTCTGACTCTTCATTCCCCTATATCCATGAATGCTGAAGCTGACAATTTACCAAGTTTTGTAGAAATTAGTTTTGGTTTGGCCCGGTGTGACTTCCAGCTGTGCGATCGTAACTTAGGGAAAACAACTTTTCTTAACCCTACTTTCTCCTGGAGCTCCTTCTTTCCATAGCATAGCCAGATATATGCTATTGTCCAAACATACTACATAATGCCATAGAAAAGTGGTCTCTCTCTTCCGTTGCTTTTGGTCCATTTCCTCTTATTTTTACTGTAGGCCACTACGTGCCTTACACACAGGATGGTTTGGCCCTATGTAAGTAAATGGCAGGACACAAACAAGAAAATACAAACAAGTAAATAACATACACACCTACAGTGTAATTATAAAGCCATTTTTGCGTAGCGTCAAAACATGTAATATAAAATGTATGTGTGTAAACTTTATTAAACTGTATCTTCCTAGTAACCAAATAAAAGCATTATTTTTAAATAAATGCTTGATTTTAAAACTTGCTTTGTATGAGCTGAAAATCATCTGATTTTCCATGTGTTTTTTATAGTTTGAATGAATGTACAATCTGAACCTATCAGTTGGGCCTATTTAAAAAACAAAACAAAACAAAAAAACTTGTTTTGAAGCATTTAAATTTGAAGCATTTTTTACAATATTTTTGAACAATAGATTTCTGAAAACTAAAAGATACCAGCATGAAAACCTATATCAAAAGCATGTTCCTGTACCAACTTCACCTGCTCACTTTTATATCATTTAAAATAGAGACCTTGTAAGCATTTGGAAACTTTCTTTAATGCATTCATGGTGTTTATAAACTGTAAAAAGGCAAAACAAAAAAAACAAAGTTGTCCTCTACTCAGAAATGTGCAGAATTGACTTAAAGTATACATTTGCATGGCAGCTGTTCTTACTTTCAGCACTGTAAATCTAAGGAACAGGTTTTTTAGCCTGTTTGTAACTCCTTCCCCCACCTCACTAAAAAGGAGGTATTGATAATAAAATGATTAAATTAGCAACAGTGAGGCCTCCTTTAACAAGAGTCTTTTGGTTATGTATTTGGCAAGTTTTAATTAAAGCTAATTTTGCTATGCAGGTCCCCACTTTATTTCTGAGGTGCCTGAAGCATACAAGCACAATATCCATGCTTATCTGACGAAGATATTTGTGGAGTTCGTGGGGAAAAGATAAGGCATGTATAATGGCGTTATGTGAAAAATAGTCAAGGCACGCTATCATTGTAAAGCGTGCTCTACTGCTCTAGATAAAAGTGTGTGTGTGTGTGTGTGTGTGTGTGTGTGTGTGTGTGGTGTGTGTGTGTGTGTGTGGGGGGGGGGACAGTATAGGATAAGCTATTCAATACAAA